GTGGGCTCCCACCTGGACACCGAACTTCTTGAATTCTTCTCGTTGCCTGGCGTGGGCCAGGCATGGTCGTCTAGCGTTTGCCAAGAAAGGTCTCTGGCTTCATGTACGAGCTGAGGTTGCCGAATGCGAAAAGGTCACTGACCTCGACCAGCCTGATGCTTCTTTCCCTGCAAGTCAACGACGTGAGCCTCTCAACCACATCACCGCTGTCACCGTTTGTGTGAGTGCGTCTATGCCTTGGTAGCAGAGCCTCCGCTGCAAGCACCGCGTCCCGCTATGTGGCAATAGGGGTTCCTATAGTCTGAAGATTTATTTCCATGCACTGTTTGTGTCTTTAGCAATTCGTTCTTCCCGTTAACATCGGTCTAGCTTTGCATGCTGTGTTCTTTGTCTGTTTATTTTTAAGGGGTTTCTGAAATATATTGAGTGTTGGGGATTGGAAACAAATGGTCTCGTCGGCTCATTTCTCAATAATGATTATGTGATCGCTTTTTGGTTTAAGGGGGTATGCTACACCTTCCAAAAACTCTTTTATTTTTGCGAGTACCTCAGTCAAATTTGGAGAGCCTATGTAGATTTTACTGCTGATTTCAAAAATCTAATTCTTTTTTTGCTGTGACAATTAGTTTTAAAGATATAATGAACTGCGAATTTTTCAATTAAGGCCTAATTAGCTAATTAACTGTAACTTGGATATTGATGTGCAACCTATAGAACCAATTCGGTATGTTCACAGTGTGCAATAAAGTATAAATCATTGTTCTGGGCTATTTCGAAGCAAAGTTGTGGGATGTTGAATATGACATGAAAAATTTCCCCATCTACACTTGAAACAAAAGATCCATTTAGAGAATTTTCTCCAAAAAATTATTACAATAAAACTTACTTTACGACACATCCCCTGCATTTATCTTCGAAACAAAAAAGAAATCGTAATGATAACCCAGATAGAACAAGAGATATTGCTCCGGCATAATGGGAAGCACATGAAAATTGTCGTTTTGAGAATCGAGAAAAAACGTGGGCACACATTTTTATTGCAGAAGATGCAACAAGACAACCTCAAAACGCACCAGAAGCATAGTCTGAATGCATTCTGTGCTCATGCCTCCTCTTCACCAGCTTCCGGAGTTCCAATGAGGCTGTTCTTTTCTTGTTGGAGACAATGCTGCGACGGTGGTCTTTTCTCTCGCTCTCCTGGCACCAGTACTTGTCGCATTCATGTCCATTTCACCTAAGATTGCCGTTGCAGAATTCAAATTGCCCGTGTTGAAGCGCAGCACTGCTTCTGCAACAGCTGCTTCAACAGCGAACAGGGACGCATGGTGCTCCTTGGGGGCCAAACTCCAGATTACCGAATGTAGGCTCTCGTTGGAGTTCTGCGTTTTGCCGCGTTCGCACCTCTGAAGCAGGGCTCTTCCCGAAAGCCGGGTATAAACCGGTAGTAATGCCTCTGCCACGTCTTTCGGTAGATTGTAGGCATGCCTGGGGTCGGGCTCACCCTTTGCTTTTGCGGCATTGTGCCGACACCATGAAGTTTCACCAGCTGGGCACAGACTGTGGTCCGAGCATTCATCAGTGGAGGTGACGTGGCGGTATGTGGCCATCACAGCCTTTTGCATCTCGCCCACGTCACCTTCATGCGATTTCAGAGCCCGGCCATAATATGTGCTCAGCCTGGTGATCAGCTCACCTGTGAGCCTGCCTTTCCCACCAAGGCCTCTTTTCCCATCGCACTTTTGTTTCTGCACCAGGTTTCTCAATGCGGTGCCCATCCGTTTCTGTACATGATTAATACAGTCTTCCTTCTGCACGTCAATGTAACCATACACCTTGGCGTCTTGTATGGCGCAAAATGTCCTAGAGTCTCCATCAGACAGCATAGTTGTGTAGCGCAGGCCATGGCGTTCAAGCGACCTCTGAAATAGAATTAGAGCCGCCTCCACTTCCATTTGCCCCGCTTTGCTGTTCGTATTTTTTTGGCATTTGTGGTTAGCCTTCCATTCTTGATAGCCCTCACTACTAGGCTTTGGGCCCACCTCGCAGCCTAGGCAAAAGTTGGAAAGAACGACGTAGTCCAACACGTAGCCACTAAATAATTCGATAACTGTGCCCACGCCGATGTGGGAAGAATGGCCTCGCGTCTTCCACGTGCCATCGTAGCTAACGGCAATATTGCCCCGGTGGCCGAAGCACAAGTCATCATAAATTGTTCTAACCTTTTCCGCACATTCGCTCATAGCGGACTCAGCCGCTCGCGTTGCAGCGGGTGCCAGCGTGTTCTTCAAATGCCGCTGAAACGTCTTGTGGTGCATACCGCGGTGTGAGATGCCCATTGTTGCGAAAATATCGTTCATTTTCGTTTGGCCGTTGCCGGTAGCCACCATCGCCCTCGAAGCGAGAAGATTTACTTCAAACGGATTGCACGTTTTCGTGCCGTTCGCGCGGAGCGAAGTCCATTCATTCGCGATCTCGCCGCACCTTTCACACTGCACTAGCACTTTCACGGCAAGTCCGTAGTCCCGATGCCCTCTGACGATCGTAGCCGGTCTGTGGCAGGCTTTGCAACACAAGGCACCCATTATCGCGTTTAGGATATCTAGATGCATAAGCAGATAAGGAGCAGCGTGGTCCGAGTCCTGTGCGGTTGCCTCGCTACAACTCGCGGTGAAAAAGTCAATTTTCCGTGCAGTTGCTGGCGCCGATGAAAGCCGGTCGAGCGTCGCTTTCTCCCGGGCATGATTTTCTTCAACTTCGGCGTTTGTCACCACCTTGGCGTCGATTCGTAGTCGTCCGGAGTTCGCTTCACCGTCATCGTCGTCGGAGGCAACGCGCTCGGTCGCACCATCGCTGAACGGCCGCGGAGCGTCGACACATCGTTCGTCGGAGTCAACCAAGGGCTCTGATGACTTCGTAGACTTTCTCCCACGACCTTTGCGTTTCCTGCGACCAAATGCGTGCACGGTCCGATACTTTTTTGCGTTTCCAGGCATGGCGATACGATCAGAAGCTTCAGAGTGCTCTGGCCGATTTCGAGGCGTCACAGCGGTAACCCTTTCAAAATGGCGTCGGGTCGCGTATGCAGGCGCAAGCCGCGAGCTTCCAGCCAACCGGAAAGCGCCATTTCAGTCACGTGCGCCGTTTAGCCAATGGCAGTGAGCGCGGCTCTTCGTCTTTGAGGCCCCGTTTTTCGAGCCGGGGAAACGCTCAATGTTGCTTACTGAATAAAAAAAACAGCTGAAAACGCGTTCTTTCAAACAAGACCAAAATGGCGCCGATCGAGCGCGTAATTCCCGCGTATCGTAGAGCCGAAACCTGCGCTATTCGCCCTCAATTTAAAGGGCAGGACGCCCGTTTTCGGTTTTTTAAAGTTGAATAACGATAAAAGTTGATGGTATTCGGCTATGAAATTTTGTAAATAGGTGCGCAATGATGTCGGGAACGCGAAAAGAAGGTCCGCGAAAACTCGATTTTTTGGCTGATTTTCGGTGCCGAAGTGCCGCGTCCCCCCTTTGGTTTAAGTGAACGTACATGAGAACTTTCCCAATAAATAGCCTCATGACATGCACGTGGTTACAGTGCTCGTATGCTGGCCTCAAGGTCCCAAGTTCAGTTCCAACCGCAGCAGTAGCATCTCTGTGGAGGCTAAATCGATAAGAACCATGTACTGGGGGATGTACTGTGGGATGTCAATGAATGTTGAAGTACATCAGATGGACAAAATTTCCGGAGCTCTCCACTACGACATACTTCATAATCATCATAAATTTGGGTTGTGACGTAAAATCCCATATATTAAATGCAAAGCATTTCTTAGCAAATTTCAGCAAACTTCAGCATTTCTATCTATCTATCTATCTATCTATCTATCTATCTATCTATCTATCTATCAAGCCGCTTACATTTGGGTGCTCTCGTGGTCACCCCCTTAAATTGACGTGAACCAAAATTAGAATGGGAAGGTAAGATGGTTTGATGAATATGACGCGCTGGTGAAGACATGAATAATTTCACAATCCTGTTGCGTACACCGTCAAACACTTCCCGCCAGACAGTGGTTTATACCCGCGGGCGGGTATGTGGCACAGGTTATCGACACTTAGCATCTACCCATGTAGGACGAGAACACACATGGGCAATTTTAATGCACGAGCGCTAAGAAATACCCGACAATGATAGTGTTGACTTAAAGAATGCAAAGAATAAATGTCATGGTCCCACCTGGAATTGAACCCAAGCATTCTGCATGGCAATGAAGCATTTCACCACAGAGCTATGCCAGGTCTCGTAACTACTTTTCAAATAGACACTAATCTTTCTGAAATGTCAATATTGGTTCCAGTGCTGCTTACTCAATTTTATAAACATTATTTATTTACTCCTTTGATACCGCAGTCACACGACGGGTTAACGTCAATTGTGGTTAGTTGCCATGCGCTGAAGTTGATTCATGTAGTGGTGTCCATGGCCAGCATCCTCACAAACATCAGCACTTCATATAAGCTTCTGGTGTTGCTAATATGCATGTTCTATTTGACATCGTTGCACAAGTACAAAAAATGGGTTATATAAGCACCTGCAACTCTTCAACATAAGTCTGTGTGTGTAATGTTTGTACATATATTAAGCGCCATTTCATGGTGTGTCGCTCAATCAAGAAATAGCTACATGGTCACCTTCCCTCAGAATGCTTTGCATAACGTCAATTCCCAGGTACTTGGGATCTGCCGAATTTTATTTTTATTGAACCTACGTTGTTCATCATCACATGCCTACCTATAACAACTTCAGGATGAATGAATCTTCCAGCTGTTTGCAGTTTTCTTTCTTGAGATGATTCGATATTATACTTGAGTGTATACTGCGGTACAGGCCAATCCGAAACCACAGAACACAAACCCCATGTAAAGGCATGTGTTCCTCATTGTACAAGCCAATACCACAGATTACGGTGTTAATAACAGCCACTCCTAAATTATGACCAATAATTAGACACTTACCTAGGTCTGCCTTTGGAAATCGACGGAACTGGAATCCCTTCAGTGGCTGATGGGCTCTCCAAGATTTGAGGGTTTGAAGTCGCATCTTCGCCATCGCTGCGCGAAATCGCTGCTTGGCCTCAAATGGCTTGCAACGATGTGAGCGCATCTTGCACTGGTCCCAAGCCTGCGTTTGGAGTATAGTCTTGAGGGAACCACCAAGTCTGCTCCTCCTCTCACACAGGATGTAAGTGTTCCCAGAAACATTTAGCAGGGCATTATCAGAATTCCCGTGATGAGATAAAATCATAAGCTTCCCCATATTTTTCCTGTTAGTATGATTTTGCAGAAACACAATCAGCAACTGAGGATGCTAAGTACTATGACACTGCACTCTTACACAAGTCAAAGAAATACTAAAGATGGAGAAAAATTTGTGCCTTTGACTTTATCCTGATACCTCTATGTCACGGTCAGGTGAAAAAAAATTATACCCATCTTTTTGATATATTATGCGAACGGAAGGCAACAATGTCTGTGCTTTAACCCAAAAACTACTATACGATTATGATATTTGCCGCAGTTAAAGGCTTCAAGAATTTCAACCATGTAGTGTTCATTAATGTGCACTGACATTGATAAAGTACCATTTCGCCTCCACAGAAATTCTCCGTCACGGCCGAGATCACACCCATGAGCTTTGCGTCAACAGCTGAGCACTGTATATACACCATGACTGACTAGAAAAGGAAGAAGCACATATCTAAGAAGTACACCGCACATGCAAAACAAAATCCTGTAGCACTCACAGAGACACATAATCCACTGCAGTAATAATATTTTCCGAGAAAGGACACTATCACGCTGAATCATATTTCGATGTCAACCAAACATAAATTTGGATGGCAGCTGCAAGTGGACTATTTGGCACTACGTGTGCATGCAAGTTTTCACATCTAATCACTGAAAACATTCTCAATCAAACATAATAAAAGGGTGATTCCACGAGAGATCGACACGGGTCCAAAAGTTGATATTTTAGATTTCACTGAGTATTTTATACTTCGTGCACCTCACACCAGGTAGCCCGAAAGTCAACTTCGTTTTATGATTAACGTCATAACTTACGAGAAAAAAATATCAAACTTCACCAACACGGAGGCACCAATTTCGTCACCTGTCATTTTCGAAAATTGCAGAAGCTATAAAAAGACAAATATTTTTGTTTAAAGGAAGATATTTTTCACCTGAAATGCATGTCGAATGAAGAATAAATTCACACGGTTTCAAGTTTGTAGACCTTAAGAAAATAGCTTTTAGAAATGTCTAATTTTGCAACAGTTTAAAATAAGTTACGTAATCCCCTTCTTTTTTTTTCTTCGAAAGTAATGCAAGCAGCGTTTTCAGACTTGACACATTTTAAGGATATAGTGTGTTCATCAGGTACATAAATTATTGCTGCCATTGGGCAAATGTAAATTTTTATATATTGCCTCAAAGTTCTTATATTGGCAAAAGTGTACTCCAATAAAATTTGAATAATAAAAAAACCCCATCTTCGATTTTTCTTAAAATCTCGTAAATAGACAACTGAAGGCCATCATACAGTAATATAGAAAAACATGTTGCAATATTTTGTTTTTAGTGACAATATTCGTGGTACAAATCAGAGCTTTTCGAGAATGCGTTGATAAGTTGAGAAATCTAGAAATCGGAACGGAAAAGCGGCAATAAGCTTCAAACGCGAGTAAACGTGACCGAATTTGGTGAAGAAAGGCTGTTTGAGCAGATAGGAATAACTATTTTGAACACGGTATTCTACAGTATCTGAATTCACTCTTATACGTAGAGCACTGAGACTTCTAATATGTGGTGCCTCTCCATTATTGACACACAGATGGAGCTGCTGTGACGACCATGTGTTTTCAACACGTTGGGTAAGAGAATTGAATGTTGAATCAGTTCATAAATGATTCATAACAAATTTTTATCATTCGGGGCACGAAGACTGCCGCATTAGACTGAAGAACACGCTTTAGGGCAAGTTTTCATCCGTCGTCTGCTCTACAGATGAATTGCTGTGCGCTGAATCTCGAAGCCAACGATTTAGATATTATGGTTCAAAGTAGGGACAAAGATTACGCCTCCCGTAATTTTATCGACAAAAACATTGTGAAATTCATTTTAATGTACTATACTTCAGTTTTGTATCCACACTGTGGATACTTGCACACAAGTATCTACAGTGTAAAAAATAGCTAACCTTGGCCTGTTTCTTTGTTTTTGAAATGTTGAAGACGGTAGTCTCAGTCTTATCACAACTCGCGATACGCGTCGTTTATGCACTTGTCGTCGTCTTCACCAGTTTCCGCAAGTTCCGCCGCCTCGAAGCCTGCCTTGCGGAAGCAGTTGACCATTGTGTTCGTGTTCACGTCTTGCCAGGCATTGAAGATCTTCACAGGAGAAAACTTTGCGGAGATTTCCGGCCCCTCCTTTGCATCCACTGCTGGATGTTCTGGCTGCTGACAGCTTCGCTTTCGCCAGAAATGGTTTTGCCAACGATGTTGTATCGTTGTTAAATCCGTGAATCTGCCTGCTGTCGTCCACGAAGTTGTTTCATCGATTGTAGCGGCAAACCATTTGGCCTTGGCAATTGGTATCGGGCCTTGCACTGGAATAGATGTCAGACTCTGGTGTTTTGTGGACACACAGCGCTACCTGTTGACGCAGTTTCAAGTAGTGCAAAGCCCGACTCTCTTGCAAAGTTTGCTGCACAGCCAGGTGCAACTACAGCTTACAAAACAATGATTGAGCTAAATATTAGATGTATATTCGCGCATTGAACACTAAAAAAAGGAGCTATGAATTTCTTTCCACTATATGAAGGCATTACCAAACCATGGTAAAGTTCTTGCTGGTTCACTCGCCTGAATGATGGCGAAGACAAAAACAGACACAACAGCTCTGTGCTTTACAAAAAAGACTCCGGTCGACACTACTGTTGCTTTGGGAATTGCCACAAATATAGATTACTTCAGTTTTGCTGATTTCCGCAGCTTTTGCAAAGCAGAATGGCGAAAGCGCTAAATAAAGGCTGTTGTGAACGTGTTGGGTATGCGAATACTCGCGTTCTTTACAGCCATTCGCTTCAGTAAGTGTGATAATGTAGGTCTCAGGTCTTCCCAGACAACACAAACACAACCTCAGGAAGTCCTCAATATGCCTCCGTGAGGACAATATGACGCCCTCAGAATGTCCTCTCATGGTACTAGGATGGCACTAATTCCGTCCCCTTGTCCATACACATAACAACCTCAGCAGATCCTCAAAACAACACTTCAGGACTTTTTCAGTATCTTTTCAGAATAATGATTGCATGGCCGGTTCGGCACTGTGGGTAGTGATACTACTGAGGATTTACTTGTTTTCATCATATTTCCATATACCAAAAGAAAAACACCTGTGAGGTCTCGTGTATATATACTGTATCAATCAACAGAGAGGTGACAAAACAAACAAAGCTTGTTGACTGAAATTTATTTAACAGTAATTATTCACAACTGACAGGTTTGTCAGGCATTCGAGTCGACATATAGTCTGAAAAAAGAAAAGCCGTCAATACAGCTCAATCAACCACGTTTATAATCTTTCTCAAAAGTTTGACACAGTGTCCTCATTACCACGTGTATAGTGCCCAATGCACTCACTAGTGTTAGAGGCTCCACTATGACAGCCTACCAGTACACTCGACATGGGCTTTGACTTCCCTGAGGTCGTGCGATGTGTCAGATGCAGAGGTCGATCCTTTCACGTTGGGACAAGGCTGCTTCAAAGTGCAATTGATCGCGATTGGCTGGTGTTCCAGGCTGCTTCGAACCACACCCCGCCGCGGTCGGCTAGTGACAATACATTCATGATTAGTCTGAACGTTGAGCAGCCCACTGCACCCATAAACACAGCAATTTACCTCTTGTCGTCACCTACGACTTACACTCTTACAAATATCTCACTTTTAACCATGCACACAAACAAGGACATGAACCTTCACTAGTACACAGCACCTTCCCTGACAGACCCCATTTTGACAGTCAGTTGGCTTGAAATGGCTTGGCTACTTGACTATCCAGAATGGTGCCGCATGGTCCATGGTTGCCAGCTGCTAGTTTGTTATTACGCGCTACAGCGGCGTATAATGACTAATTTAAGGCTCTGACATTTAAGAACACATTGTTTCAAATGTACATTTCGCAATACCAGGCTCGATACCCAAGCCAATTATTTACGCGTGTCTCATTAAGCAGAACGCGTAATTTGAAAATTTTACGCCAAAAAAGAAACAAACTAGGTAAAAACATCCAATAGCTTTATGACTGTATGAAACGAATGTGTGTAGAAAGTTTTCACATATGAAACACATCTACTTGGTGCGCAAAGGTTCTGAGGAATTATATCTAAGTGCTCAGTGCAATGCTTTTGTCATCCCCAAAAGATCCTTGGCAGGACCTTTTCCGGACCAATTGTTGTCCTCAGAAAGCACTCCAAAAGACGCTTCCGGGTCAAACCAGCTTGTGTCGTCCTCAGTAAATACTAAGGTCAATGAGAATTTTGCGAGGACGTTTGTACCATATGAGGACGACCTTAGGACATCGAGTGTTGTCTGGGTCCTGTTATAGTTTTAAGCAGCCTTGACGGAGAAACGGGGTAACTTTGGTTATGAAGCTTAACAGACCCTCTGTTTGCGGTGCGCGACATGCAACAGTAAACAGGTGACGCCCGACCGCAATAAAGATCACACACACACGCTACAACCACTGATAATATGAAGTTATCACCACCACACAGCATTACGCACACTAGGGCTTTCAAAGCTCCAAGTGCCAGCTTTAACTAGGAAATGCAAATACTGATAAATTGCAAAATGATTGTGACCACAAACAATTTTTTTTTCCCATTGGTTTTCAGCATTACCGGAGCTATCTCGGAGGCATTGGTTTTGCCTTCAATTGTACACTCAGAAAGTGGATATGCATGTATCCTCATTCGTAGTATATACACACGGCAGATAATCGTCAACAGAGCATTCGATCATGCCTAATAAAGCACTTCAATGCACAGCAAGCAACCGCAAGCAAGAATGCAACTACAAAGCAAAAATCACCAGGGCCATTGGTGCCGGATAAAGCGAGC